GAGCACTTCCTACAGGCGACGGGGATCCACTGAAAGTCTGTGAGCAGGGGACAGGGACAGATGAGCTCATGATCTTGTCTTTAAAAGGTTAGCAGGAAAGCAGTGTGGAGGATGGACGGGAGGGAAATGGAGTCAAGGCCTGGGAGTGTCTTATTCCAAAAAGCTGGGCGTTTGCTGAGCTAAAACCAGGGCACAGGAAGAGGAAGACAACTGTGAAGGCTATTAAGGCCCAGTTAGATGCTGTGAAGACGATCTAGATGAACTCCACGAGGGCAGAGGGCCGGGCTTGGTGGAATGCAGACTGTTAAACCAAATTAAACACGATGCCAGGGCCTAGGGCTCAGGAAGCCATCCTAGCTGCCTGGATGAGTCCTGGCTTCCAGCATCAATCAGACTGAAAACCTGCTAACTTCTCTATGGAAATCTGGGGCTAGGGGATTATGTCACAAGAAAAACTGCATTATACTTGGTAACAGAATTATATCTAAAATGCTAAACAGCGGGCAGCAGTTCCTAGGCGTGTAATCTCTCTGAGGTAAGCATCCTCTAAATCAAATAAATACTTGGGGGCATCTAGGCACTAATTCATTATTTATTGCAGAAGAGCCCCAAGAAATCTATGACTCATTTTCCCCTTCAATAAACTTATAATCTTATTAGGGACATAAAACACCAGAATTAAGAATATGAAAGGATGTAAAAAGATGCTTATTTAAATCCAATAACAAATGATTCAAATAGGAAGTGAGGGAGAGAATGTTAACCTGGCTGTTAAGTGGGCCTCTCTAGAGGGCAACACCCAACAGTGCGCTGTGGTCACCACCAGGGCTGGTGCAACCCCAGGACACAGCCGCTCAGGACGACCACTTAACCCTGCTGGCGCCGGGGAGCAAGGACTTCCAGTCCACGTCTTCTGTTGTTGGGAGAAAGAACACGATGTACATAAAGGAAACAGGACGGAGACAGCTGAATCGGCAGGATCAGGAGATGTTTTCTAATGGGAATTGATACGGTCTGAAGAGAAAGAACAGGGGAGGCTGGCAGGTGTCCAGTGAGGGCGGTGACACAGAGGGCGGAACCGCGGCTCCGTGACAGGATGAGCTGGCGCTCCAAAGCTGCTAAAGGAAATGAAGTAGACGCCCCTATCACCAATAAATAAAAATAAATAAATCAAAAGTCTGTCCATGTCCCTGCTCGCCTCTGTCTCCTCAGTCCCACACCAGGGAGAAACCCAGCACAGACAAGTGGGTGACCCCTTGGGACAGCACCCTGCAGGCAGGCAAGCTCTCCCCGGTCACGGATGATTTCCGCTGAACAAGTGTCACTGGAGAGACTAATTCCATGGCTCTACGGCCAGGTGCCTCTTCAGGAGGGAGGAGGCCACTACGTTTGTGATTTAGCACATTTTGGTGTTTTCAAATCTAAAGCCTGAGTTTTTGACACTGAGGTCATTCAACATTTCCAAGTTTACCAACCTACGAAAGCAGAGTAAAACGAGGCACTAGGAGCTTGAGACAAAGGTTCTCCTTGCCCCACTTTGGCTGAACGAACTTATAAGACATGTGCCAAAGTATTTAATTTCTAAAAATACTTACCCTACAAGGTGGCAAAATGAGCTTTTTCAAATCTTAGGGAGAATGACTCAGTAGCACCTAGCTTTACTGTTAGTGACAGTGCTAGAGACTGGAGACTGAAAACACTATGGTTTCACAGTGCGTTGGCCTAATTGCTGTTGAATAAAAGAACTACTTGATAAATCCAAATTTGTCTCAGGCTTCTGTGTGAGGTATCTAATCCTTCGCAATCCTAAATGCTTGCTGTCTTTGTGGCATGTGACATGACCCGGGTACTGTTTCCAACATACAGGTAACATGACACTCCAAAAGCTTCCTATCGCCTACCCTCTTCAACTACTAGTCTTTGAAAAACAAATCTTAAGACATATCCTTAAAGTTTTATTGAAAGAATTGCACTGAACAGTCATCCAACTAAAATCTTCTTACAAAATAAGGATAAGGTACTAGAAATAATCATTGTAAGGAAGCACAGAATGGGTAATTTTCATTTAAGAAGTCATTACTTTCAAACTTTATGGAAAAAGACAGAGCTATTACTAACGTCTCAGTTTAAAGGGTCAGAAATCATTGCGAAACATGAGTTAAGACATAGTAAGTACTTTTATTCATGGTGCCTATGATTTTATATAAGATGAAATTTGTTATTAAGTAGTTCCTTAATACATGATTCCTTCTCTACGAAATGAGTGAAAAATAAAATTATGATCATTTTTGAACCTCAGATTTTGGAAAAGGCCGTAATCTGAACCTCAGTATACTTTTGACAAGCTGTTAAAATTCATATTCATTTCTTATACTTTCACTGCTGGAATTTATTGACTGCTTCAACAGAATAGGCTGTAAAGGGGAAATTCCAGAAGAATGTGGCTTTCTATATTAGAAAAGAGGAAGAGAAATCTATTCTGAAAGGGCCTAGAATAATATTAAAGATAAAAGGTTGAAACAAACTGCTCATTCTTCTTTCTCATTATTTAAAATAAAGTACCATAATTACTTTGCTAGTTTCAAAGAAACTCCCTCAAGAATTCCATCCTTGCCAACCCACATGAGACAAAGTGAAACTGAAGTTAACATGACACAGGCATGTACATTATCCAAGCAAAGCAATGTCCTTTCTTCCAATGTCTTTATCCTTTGTCTCAGTTATAGAGCATACCACACCCTCATTCAATGACAAATACAATTGAGAAGGCATTAGTGTACAGTGAAATGATGTAGTAATAGAAATAGCTAATGTTTACTGAGTACTTACTATCTGTCATTCACTGAGCTGAACACAAATTATTTTTTAAAAACTGGACTGAGCCCTTACAGCACACAATCCTATGAGGTATTATTACAAGATATTTTAATTTTATGTACAGATGAGGAAACCCAGACTTAGCAAAATCAAGTGGCCACACAGCTGTTAGGTGGTAAAATCAGACAAATGATGAAGTATTTGAGGGTAACCATAATTAGGGACAAGACTGATTCCTCTCCAAAACTGGGAATATGTTCTGGGTTGGACACTGTGGAAAAGCCTGATCTTATCCCACTGCAGAGCATCCGCAAAAGATTTTACAATAATAGTAACTGTATCCCTCAATCATTGAGAGTAATTGTTACATATGCTTTATGGCTTTGAGTAGATTCATGCCAATAAATGAACACTTACAAAATAAGAACCAAGAGTCAAATGGATTATAAAGGTAAGGAACAAGTGTCATGTGGGAGAACATTATTAGTTTTATGAAAATCTGAAAAAGTGCAGTGATTCTCAAAGGAGACACTACTGGCATGTGTGTGTATACAAGGGTGTATGTGCACATGGGTACCTGTGTACAGGCAACAATTCTTTGTTGAATAAAGCCATCCCTTGTGTTGTAAACATTTAGCATCCTTAACCCCCAACCACTAAATACCAGAGGCTTCCCCCAATGCTCATGGCCACTGAATATACCCCTGCACATTTTCTGCTGATCTGGATTGAGAACCATTGGCTGTTGGATAAATACACTGGAAGAGAAGTAACTGACACCAACTGTGCACCTGCTAAGGGCATTCACGTGTATTCACTTTATTCTCATAACTCCATATGAAGTAAGTACATATTCAACCCCCATTTCACACATGTGGATCCTGAGGCTCAGAGAAAGCTTAAATAACTTAACCAAGGTCATACTAATAGTTTTGAGACCAACAGTCTGGCTCCAAAACTACACATCCCTGGGTTGGTCTTTTAAACCATTAGTGTGGTAGGCATGACTTTCCTTTCTTTAAAGAGGTTCACTCAGAAGATATAAATCCACTTAAGTAGGGCCCATGGTGTGCCTGTCATTTGGACATGAATCAGTTCCCTGGGTTAGGGGTTCCACATGTCAGTGAGGTGGGTTATAAGACGCAGGCACCAAGAGTTGGGCCAGGTAGCTCCTATGCACAGGTATATATTAGAAGTGCTTCCAGTGTGTGTGTGTGTATGCGTGTGTGTATGCGTGTGAAAGTTTTCAGAGGAATAAGACTGTTGTGCTATAGCATGTGAGATTTACGTGTTTTGTTTAACACTTTTCATAGCACATAGGATGCACCGGGCACTGCTACAATTGCCTGACAATGTCTCATTTCCGCTTGCATGTTAGGTGATGAACAGAATCCAGCGTGCACTGTCTGATGGGTTGGTGTCTGTATGGCGGTGCTGGGATGTCCGCTGTGATGTGTGTGTCCAAGGCGATAGTTTGTGCTGTGGTACAGGCGGCGGTGTCTGAGGTTGGGGGAAGGGTCGTGCTAGATGATGAATGTGCAGTGCATACTGGAGGTGCTGCATGGGAGAGACTGTAATAATTGTGTGCATCTCACATGTGCATGTTGTGCATGGCGGGTAGTGCTGAATGCTGGAGGAGTTCAGCGGAAAGGGGTCTGCACCTGGGCCTGTGCGTGGTGCGTGGAAGACGCTGTGGACTGGGGTGTGTTCAGTGTAGTGGTATGTGCTGAAAGTGGTGCATACCAGATGATTCATGCGGAGTGCTAGCGAGGGATGGGGGCTGGAGAGGAGGGAGCCGACATCGTGATGTGTGTGGGGAGGGATGCTAAGAGCAGTAGGAGAAGTGAGGCGGGGCGGCGGGAGGGGTCGTGCTAGGTGACCCAAGAGTGTTCCTGATGTGGCCCGAGGCGGTGTATCGGGAATGGTGGTACAGAGAGCGGTGGGGGTGGGGCGGGATTGGAGGGTAGGGACGAATGTCGGTCCAGAGGAGCTCGAGAGGAGGAAGCCGGGTGTGTTAGGTGAGACACCGGCGGGTGGAAGAGCTGCGTGGGCGGCGGGTCTGCGAGAGGGTGCGAGGAGCAGCCAGCTCGCTTCCTCTCCCGGCCACGCTCCCCGCCAGCGCCCCCACCCGCCCCTTCCCTTCGCCCAAGGGCGCGCCCCCAGCGCGGCCCGGCCGGCCTCACCTGGTGAAGGCAAAGTACATGAGGCTGACGATGGTGAAGCTGAGCAGCGTGATGGTGTGCGGCCGGTAGAAGAAGTCGATGGTGATGTCCTCCACTTGCTGCTCGTTAATCATCCGGAAATGCATCTTGTAGTTCACATCATCTTTACTCAGCGTCCTGCTCCCCACGCAGGACGCCATGGCCCGCCTCCCCGTCCTGCGGCGGCGGCGGCGGCCCCGGCCCGTGGAGGCTGGGACCCCGGAGGTGACGAGCCGCAGCGGGCGGGCGGGCGGCCGGGTCTGGCGCGGAGCACGGGCTGGGAGCGGAGGGAAGGACCGGCGCAGGAGGGCGGGGTCGCGGCGCCGCCAACGTGGCCTCGCGCGGGGGGCGCCGCTCGCCGCGTTTCGGCGGGCATTCCGGGAGGGGCATCTCTAGGGACTCACGGTGGCTTCAGGTTCCTAGTGGAAGAGCCTTGAGGGGAGCGGCGCACAGGAGAAAGGAAACTGTGGCCCCGGCCGGCTCTGTCCCCGCACGCCGCCCGCTCCCCCCCCCGCGCAGCCTCGCAGATGGTCTCGCCCACTCCCGCCGCAGCCCACGTGGGCGAGGGAGCGCGGCGGCGCCGGCGGGCAGGCGGACCAGCGGGTGAGCTGCGCTGCCGGGCGGTACGCGCTGCCTGGCTGGGCGAGTGGCCACCGCGAGAAAGACCACGAGGCACAGGCCTCGCCACAGGTAACGCGGGGGCCGCCGGAGCACGAGGGGCAGCCGCCCGGCTGGGTTCGGATTCGGCCCCATCCCGATCTAGGCGGCGCCCCGGGGCCTCTAGGCCTTCGTGGCCCAATCGAGGGTGACTAATTTTGTTTTGTATTTTTCCTTGGCTGATGAAAAGAAGACGCAACCATGCCTGTTTATTAGCGCTCTTTGCAGAGGACGCAGAAGGAGGTCCAGTGTGTTAACGGGCTTCCTCCGGAAGTTCGGTGTGGGAACTGAAAAAGGAACTTGTTAAAATGGCCTAGGGAGGGCGTCAGGCAGCCGATGAGAGGCCCTTTATTGCGAAATCATTCCCTCCACCCACCTTTCATCTTCTGATTTCGTTCATTAGCCTTGCGGAGGTCGAAATCTTGAACCCTCACCAAAGAAAATTTAAGTGCCAATTACTATTACTAACGAAGTACTGAGGCGCACAGTTGAGAACTAGTTTTTGGTATATTAGTGAACTTCAGAATTATTTAAGGCTTTTTTCTTTAATTTTAACCTTGGTGAAAGAGTCGTGTTAGAGGACTTACCACGATGTAGGGCTTTTACACACATCCATAACCGCTTTTGAATACTCTGTAGGCAAATGAGTTAACCGTAGTTGCAACTGATTCATTTCCGTCCAATAACCACTGAAACAGTGCAAGGCCCTGGGCTAGTGGGGAGTAGTCTCTGGGAGGGTGGATCCAGAGATGAGACCCAGCCCTGCTCTCGTGAATGAATAATTAAGCAATTGTTAAGAAGTATACACAGCAAAGAAATGATATAGAAAAGATAAAAGCAGAAGGATAAACATTAGTTGTTTGCATAAAGATCTTTTAATGCATATTGTTACAATTCAAAAGTTAATCTTCCTAATGTGGGAGGAGTTTTCATTTGAACCTAGCTCTAAAGGCTTCAGAGTGAATTTGGGATTTCAGGAGTTTTCTTTGAAATAGCACAAAATGCATAGACCTTGAAGTCAAAACTTTGATAGGGATCTACGCTGATAGGGATCTTAAGAAGTATTGTACCCATAAACTTTTTAAAGACTCATTTAGAGAATGGTTATTGAAACCCCTATCATGGACTAGTCATTGTGCTAGACCACCAGGAGAAACAGTCTTAAGGTCAAGTTAAGTCTTCTGTCTTCCAATTAAATGCTCTTCCAACATTGCTGTGCAAAGAATGTTGTAGGATTGAGGAAAAACGCAACAGGTTTGGAGGCTCATTTCCTACTAAATTTAACAAAAATATCCACCCCCCCAAGGCTATTGTGAATACTTTTTTCCTTTCTAAAATCATTTAAGAATGACAGTGAGACATTTCACTTTTATAAATACCTTTCAGGAGACTTCCTAAGCTGCAAATCTCTAAGAGGAGATTAGACCCTCAAGTATTTATATTTATTTGGTCTATTTCAGAGCATAAAGCAAGCTGAATTTCAGGATAGAAATCAAAAAGTTGTAAGCAACAATTAACTCAGAATTCATTTATGTTTGGTTGTAATCAGTAATGATGATGATGGCTAACATTTTTTGGGCATTTTCCATATGCTGGACTCTACGCTGTATTTTTTGTGGATTATCTTATTTAATGTAAAATACCATGCATCAGATTTACCCTTGAATTAATCAGGCTAAATATAAAAGTCCTTCATATTCCTGGACTTTAAAGCAATGACAGCCTTTCCTGATGAAAAATCCTTCTAAAAACAACTGCTTTTCCAGTCAAAATATAGTATAGAATAGTAAGTATTCATTGCTGGATGCTTATATATTTCTGTCTGTTCATTTTGCTTGTTAGTTTTGACTTTTTTTTTTTTGGAAGGCTTTTTTTTTCTTTTTTCCTACAGAGAAACAAAATTTGGCAAAACTCGTTCAATTCCCTTTTGAGAAACAGCTTTATCTGTGAAATAGTCTGTAATGCTCAACCCTGAGGATGAAGCAAGAAACAGCCTTCTAGATAGCGGTATTTTGATGATTCATTTAAGACTAAGTAGAATTCTGCTTGTTTTTATTTTGTGACCAATGTACATACATAAAATATGTTTGACTAATTCAGTGTTACTGTTTTGATCAGCAGTCTGCTTCTTACACGTCCTTTGAACAAAATTTCAAGAGCACTTAATTGCATCACCTTGTCTTTAAATATTAAATTAACAGATTCAGCTGTAATTTGAACATTTATAGATTTTTGTTTTAAATAGTTTTTCTTACACCATTGATTTTGCTTTCGGTTTTTAACTTGTACAGCGTATCTTTATTTTTCCAGTTCAGAGGTTCCTGTATTTTGGTTTGTTACTGAAACTTCCTTGTTTGGGGTTTTCCTGTGCTTGAAAACATCTGACTGCTTTAGTCATCTAATTCGTTAAGCATCTTTTAATAGGAAAAAAATAATCTCCAGTTTATCTTTTTGCTGTTTGAATACTGTTTTAAACACTTACATAAAGTAAGTTTCTCTTTTTTGATGGTTACGTATTTCTTTTGTAGGCTACTTTAAGAAAAATGGCCCTGTCAGCCCAACAGATACCAAGGTGGTTCAGCTCAGTTAAACTGAGTAGCTTCATTACTGCTACCCAACTCAGAAAACGTTTTCAGAGACCAGGAAAAACATTGTCGCATGGCTTTTTCGCTCAGCCTCAGCTGTCCTCTGATGATTGCTTTCTCCGGTGTGGTTTTAAGACTTATAGGACTTCCTCCTTATGGAATTGTTCCCAGACTACCAGCTCAAATAGGCAAGAGATTGGTTCTGTCCAAAGCACTCTGCTTCCTGCTGTGAATGCGCGGTCACAGAAGACACAGAAGATACCCAGCTTTGACTCTGAGCCGTCTGAGGAAGGTAATTCTGAACTTTCAGAAAATTCCCCTTTACCCCACTTTGGTAGTTTGAACAAGCTGCCTGTTTATATTTTGTTAGCCCATTTCAAGTCATACTTTGTGCCAGGAAAGAAAGAAAAAGAACAATGCCATTTCTATTCATTTGTTTCTGTTGTGCCTCTAGTTTACTAAGAAAAAGTTTATAGACTAATACGTATATGATTATTTTAAGCTATATGAATAACATTTGTTTTCTGAATTTCTTATTAGATTCTTTAAAAAATTTTTTTTCTTGTGGTAATTAGGTTTATTAGGGTCTAATTACCCTATTCTTTGTACCTAATTAGGGTATAATTGTACCCAGGTTAAAGTCATCCTTTTGGGGGGATACGGTTTTATGAATTTTGACATAATGCATTTAGTTGTGTAACAGCCACGAAACCAACAAATAGAACAAAGTGAACAAGCAGAACACTGCAAAAGTCTGCTCCCTCCTAAGTGCTTCCTATTCTAGGAATATTCCTATGCAAGGACTATTTCACTGCAAATGAGATAACATTAGAATATGAAGGCAAGCCAGCTAGAGGGTAAGGGCATGGTGGGGAGGCTGGGCATGAGAAATGAGAAAGGGTAGTGATTAGAGGCAAAAAACAGAACAAAAAAGTCACAGCCCTGATTCCTTAGCTCAAGGTAGGTTACAGTTCCCAGCATCTTTTTTTTACCGTGTTTGACTTAAAACAAAACCTCAGAATCAAGGCTGAACTAAAGGAGGGTTACATCCTTAGCAAAGGATCACAAGTAGTAGAAACAGAACACTGCAGTCCTCTTATAGACATATTTGAGAATAACTTGGAGGAGAAGGGATTGGATCAACATGAAGACATTTCAGGATGTGATGACTTTAACCCATATAATTCAGGTCTGTAGAATATGCTGTACTTTTGGCCAAATGAGCAAGCCGTGGCAGACTCGATCTCTTTCTCAGAATGTACTTGAAGGTCAGTCGATCTTTAGCATTCGTATCTGTTGATTAAAAGTGTCAGAAAGGAAAGGAATTTTGTACAGGATGTCCTTATGGAATAGAAACTCACCCACAAACAGTAGTTGATATCTCTAAATAGTCTTAATCTTACCTCTTAGAAGGTAGGCAATATAGGGACTTCTCAGATGTTGAACTCAGAAATGATGCCAAGGTTTAAAAAGAGGCAAACTAGGCAAAAGGCTGTCTTTATAGAAATAGCTTCAAGTGTCCAGACTGACGAGCTGACTTGCTTCTACTTGTCCACATCCTGGCTTCAAAGGACTGGACGATTTGCCTCCGCTGTCTCCACTGCAGCCAGTTTCTGAGGAGGAGGCTGTTCAGATTATTGCAGACCCTCCACTGCCCCCGTCCTCATTCACACTTCGAGACTATGTGGATCATTCGGAGACTCTGCAGAAGTTAGTGCTCCTAGGTAAGTCTGAGTAACCCACAAGTACTTCTTTAGTGTACTCGGCACTTAGTTTTCCGCCTTATTTTTTAAGTTAGCATTTTTAATCTCTACCAAAGTACATACCCATGAATCAAAGTCAAATAGTGTGGAAAGGCTTCTAGAGAAAAGCCGTCCTCCCACCTTCCTCCTTCCTGACCTTGCATCCGGATCCCAGAGTGTCTGCTTTTTCAGCTCTTTCTGTTTGTATTTAACCTCTAAATGTTTATGTAATTGTTAACAGTGCTGTTGCTTGGTTCATCAGTTTTAGACATCAGCTAGTCTCTTCCATACACACACATATG